GGCGACACCATAAAACCCGGCGTACAAACAAGTGTAGCACATAGTGATTTATTCTTGTAAAAATACTCGTTGTCTATACTGTGTAAACGAAAGAATGTCACAACAATTATACTACAGGTTTTGTGTAAAACTAGTATATGACTTGTTTCTTGGTGTAAACGACGGGGTTAGACACATTTTCAGTCAAGAATGATGCGACACAGAGAAGAAATACACTGCATCGCCATTTTTATTTGTACGATTTCAACAAAACTGCCAAATAATCATTTCATACGACCAGTCTCAAGAACCGGTATTTTCCAAATTTTAGAAAGGTGCATATATTTAAAGATTGGGAGAAACGATTTAACAGAAAAATAAAAATTAATTAATTAATGTCTTTTTTTCTCCATTAAACCAATCTTTATATATGTAATTCTTCTGTGAGTGTGTATGTCACTGAACTTCTCTTAAAGGACTGGACCGATTTTGATGAAATTTTTTGTGTGTGTTCAAGGGGATCTGAGAATGGTTTAGATTCACAATTTTGTCCGCTGGACAACCCCTATTTTTTAGGGCGGTACGAAGTTCGCTGGGTCAGCTAGTTAAAGTATAATTTCTTTTAAATGGTTTTGAATTTACCGCCAAAACGCTCGGTTCGATGACGTCAACTGTGTGACGTCAAGTTTGTGCATGCTACGTAATCAACTGAAGGTCAAATTATTAACTTTTTACGTTCGGGAAAAAATATTTTAAAACTTACACAAAATTTTTGATGTTTAGAAACTCTGAAGCACAGAAATCAGGATAAGTAGAGAAGAAATTAGCAAAGTGTGGCGGCGACGTCTATATGCCCCACATATAGACAACGGATGGAGGAAATCATTACTCACCATCCTCAAGAGATGGCGTTACCTGCACTGCGATCAATAATAGTACGGAAGCCTACATCGCGCAAATGAAATTCGGAGGCTAACTCTTCATATATACGATGCCCGACCAACATCAGTCGGGCCGCGGCCCCCGAGCTACCATCACCCAGCTCGGAGGAAGATCTTCCCCTTTGGCCTTCCTACAAAAGTATTATAAGTACTATAAACTTGTGAACAGTGGTACGGGTATCGAACGCAATAAAAGACTTCCTCGGAGGGTAGACCGATATGTCTGCCAATAACAGCCTACCCGCAATTACTTCAGTTACTCCGTGATCATGGCGCTTGCAACAGTGCCGAAATATCGGAGACTCGCTAAAAACAAGGTACATGGTAACAATCCCGTAAATAACTTATATTACTATAAACTTATCCCGAACGTAATAAAAGTTAATAATTTGACCTTCAGATGATTACATAGCATTCACAAAGTTGACGTCACACACTAGACGTCATCGAACCCAGCGTTTTGGCGGTAAATTCAAAACCGTTAAAAATAAATTCAAGTCTTATGGAGAGAAAAAGGCATTAATTAATTTTTTTTTTGTTTCTTAGGTTTTCACGCACATCACTCATTAAATAAAACTAGTTTTTACGGGTTAATGCACGAAACTTTATTTATTTATTGATGATGAATAATGATTTTTAAAAATCATTATTCTGACGATGCAGACCTGAAAAGGCTGCAAAACGTCAATAAATAAATAAAGTTTCGTGCATTAACCCGTAAAAACTAGCCATATTAAAACACTGAATGAAAGATTGTGTTAGTAATTCAAATTATTTCAATTAAAAGTCTTTTTAAAATGAACCTTAAAAAACGCACAAATAGGAAATTTTCCAAATTTTTGAAAACTGCTTATATTTAAAGATTGGGACAAACGATTTAACAGAAAAATAAAAATAAATTAATTAATGCCTTTTTCTCTCCATTAGACTGAATTAAAGTTGAATCTCTTATCTATTAGACAAGTCCGTCCGTGCCATGAAAGCTTTAATACAACTCAAAAGATAATTTGTCCACAAATATGGCCTCGTTAGTGGTAGGTTTCAAAGTTGAAAATCAACTGCACACTTGCAATATTCTTGCACTTGACTATTGGTGTTTGCTATGTGTAAACTTGAAATCAGTCTGTCCTTATATTTTTTATTATTTTAAAGCATGTAACTGCTTGATGTTTAAATCTAAAGAAAATACTCCACGCGGACCAGGCAGCAGACGGGACTCGAACCCGCACCCTACGCAATCCGGGCGAATGCATTGACCAATTATGCTACCGCGGCCCTTATGGACCGCGTCGAAATTCTTCTAGCCATTCTTAAGCTGCAAGGCAGCGCCATCTCTTCGCATTATATCAGTCTGTCCTTATCAAGCTCTAGAAGGAATGAAAAGGACAGACTTATGTCAGATTTACAAATAGCGAACACGAATAATCATGTGAAATGGCGGCATGATAATAGTTGCCTGGAAGAAGTTGCTTCTTAGCGATAAGGCCGCCGTTTGTACTATGTAAGAGTCTTAATTAATTGTAACTTAAACTTTCAATGTGTACAATGAAGTAATCATCCATTCATACATTCATAATAGTCTGAAATGTTGTCTGTACAACTTTTTCGAACACATCTAAAACGCGCCTGACCATCTACCTATCTCTTTCTGACGTATAATAAGCTTTGTTTTGAAGAGCAAGATGGCTTATCGCCAAGGGCGGATCCAGGGGGGGGGGGGATTCATGGGGGGTCATGACCCTGGGCTGGGTCCATCTGTACCCACTGTGACTTGACTACGACTATAGGACCCCCCCTCTGGCGCCAAAGCTAGATTCGCCCTTGCTTATCGACTTTTGTTTTTAGACGAAACTGAGTTTATAATATTTGTTTCGTTAAAGGGATTCTTATATGAGTCAGAAAGAGATGGTTGATGGATATGGACTCTGTTGCTATGATTAAAATCGAATATGAAACGTCATTTTTTTAATGTAAACAATCAAATTGTTATTATTGAGTTTTTTTTTACTCCAATGCCCATTCGCTGTACTTAAAAGAAAAACAGTATGAAAACAAATTTAGATTAGACACATCGAGTTAAATACACATTTAGCTGTTACAATTTTAAAGGAAAACGCTTAACGAAAAAATCGACTTTAATGCTAACGAAATACAGGTTAAAATCCCGTGTCATAGCTAAGAAATTATTTAAAGTTTTGCGTCTTAAATCTAGTGTTTAAGATTAATTCTGGCAGAGAAATCTTGTAGCGGTAAGCCCGCTTTTTGCCCATTTTTGTAATAGGGTATTTGACAAGTTTTAGAAAACGATCTCATGTTATTGACTAATGTTTATGGAGTCCGTAAAAAGTGTATATTCATCATTCTGTTGTGTATTTCAGTAAAAATAATCAAATCAAAAACTCAATTTTCAAGTTGCCGCGAAAACGTTTCTCTCTGGACAATATGGCGTCGTACTAGTGTGTGACGTCACACGACTGTTATGAAAACGCCAACGATACAATGTAATGTCACTTTAACCGGAAGTTTACTTGCGTGTGACGTCATTTTAGGCTCCGTCAATCCCAAGCGTTTTGGATCACGTGACAATAGATAAGAAAACTATTATCTTTTTCGTTAGTTTTTAGTAAAAATCATGAATATTTTTTTTGTAAAAATAGTAAAAACCCCTGCCAATATTCATTCTAAACACAGATGCTAACAATTGGCACTTTATTTTTAACACTGTCAAATACCCTATTGAAAAATAAAATAAAATTAAAATCGAATATTTTCGTCGAGCGTTTTCCTCCGTCAAATATTGAGAGACACAATAGCGTTATAGAAACTATATTACGTTAAGGGATTCTCATACGTATTGCTACGACAATTAAGGTTCAATATCGAATGTACTGGACTGAAGCTATCCGGTTATAGCGTGATGGTCTGAGCGGCTACCGAAAAAGGGCAAGTCGTCGAAGAGAAACCAAAAGGAAGTAAATGAATTTCGAACCGAATATTACAATCTTTTGACAGTAAAACAGTACAATTTTGTTAAAACAGTACCTTGGAAATATCAACACCATTTGTACCGATATTCTTGAATCAATCCCCGCCTAAGGGCAACTTGATGCAAATTTGCTAAATAGCGATTTAACTAAAACTAGATTGAGGTCCACTTGCAGCAAATTTGCTAAGTCTCTTTTTTGTCTGTGTTCGCTGTTTCCGTTTTAGGGAGGGATATGAGAGGGATGATGACTAAATTTTTTTTTCTTCGTTTATCAGGTAGATTATCAAAAAGTATTGCAGAGATATATTGATTTGAAAAGTCGCATGACGTCACGTTTTGGTACTATTTTCACTTAAAAGTGACGTCGCGAGCCCCTACTCCCAAACTTTGTCATTATTTGGTTGATTGCCCAAAGAAAAAATACGTGTCCATTATTTTTTGATCATCTAACTGACGGACTAAATAGAATTTCGTTTACTGTACCCCGTCATCACCCCTATTTCGCTAATGTCCCGTGCGTAGTGAGAGAGACGCGAGACGAGAGAGATTGCTCGATAAATTTCTATTTTATCAAAACTAGATTTAAGTCTTTACAATAATATAAAGAAAAGTTTACTAGAAAAAAATTAACGCGGACCAGGCAGCAGACAGAATCTTTTCCAGTAAACTTTTCTTTAGATTTAAATATCTAACGGTTAAATGCTTAAAAAATAAAAACAGTCTTTACAATAATGTCAAAATGACGTTGACGTTTTGATATTTTTCTATGGGTCAAATCCAGTTTTTGTTGAATCGTGATTTAGCAACATTTCTGCAGGTGGCCCGTAATACATTAAAAATGAAAAAATGTTAAAACTAGATTTAACAAATTTGATTCAAATTCAGCAAATTTGCTGTTAAACACATCATACCAACTTTGTCGATTATTTGAAAGTTAAACAGACCAAATTTTGGCTTAAGCACTATCAGGTTTTAAATTTGATTCAAGAACTATAAGTACAAGTGGGACTGAAAAAAAGTATAACAGTACAGTTTGGTGATTTGAAAAGTAAGTAGAAAAGGTCGATGGTTTTGTGAGAAAGAGTAACACTTACACGAAGGAATCTTCTTGAACACCGTTTTGCCCATGAAGTCCAGGAATCTCTGCGCGTAGAAACTTGGTCTATGCACAGAGACAGTGTCCTGAAAAATTAGATAGTTATAGGTGAATTTAACCATCAGTAATCCTGGAGTAATCCTGGTCTCCTATTGACCGAAATATTATATATTTATTTATATACTAGCGGCCCGCCCTCGCTTCGCTTCGGTGTAGAGCTGAAGTGTACACTACAGTTTTTGTTCTCAGGCTTGTATTTACACAATGACATTCATCTATGATTCCTCTTATACCTGCATGCAAAGTCTCAGCCCGATCGGTTTAAAATTGACAAAGCTTCAGTGACTGACTGACTGACTGACATAGTGATCTATCAAAGGATTTTGATCAAAGAAAATACAAGGGGATAAAATAGCGAACGAAAGTTTGTGTGAAACTTTGTCAATTTTAAACCGACCGGGCTGAGACTTTGCATTCAGGTATAAGAAGAATCATAGATGAATGTCATTGTGTATAATACAAGCCTGAGAACAAAAACTGTAGTCTACACTTCAGCTCTACACCGAAGCGAAGCGAGAGCGGGCCGCTAGTATAAAATACAACTATAATTGCTACTTCTTCTTTCAAAACTTTAACACTTGTAAAGGTATTCATTTGACATTGTGCGTTACCTATAATGCGAAGAGATGGAGCGCTGCCTAGCAGTCTTAGCTAGAATACTAGAGGAAATTCGAGACGGCCGTCAGGGCCGCAGTAGCATAATAGTCAGTGCAATAATATACGTTTTACTCACCCCGTCATGTATCATGCTTTTCCATGTATGCTCCAGTTTTTTCCTCAGCCTATAAGACTGTAGGATGTCGATGATACCCAGGAACAATAAGAGCCGTTCCCCCCGCGCATTTCTTGCAGGAATGCCACCAGGACTGGGAAAAATAATATAATAATGACATTTATTTGTGCGACAAATTTAAGCAACTTTCGCAGTGGTCGGTCATTGGATGGGTGACCAAAAATCTTCTATCTCTCGCTCCTCCGTGCTTCGGAAGGCACGATAAGCCGTTGGTCCCGGCTGCCTGTGCAGTCGATAGCATCCGCCAATCCGCACTGGGCCCGCGTGGTGGGTCATGGCCCAATCTCCCTATACCATCCATAGGTTCAGGCCTGTGCCCCAGCAGTGGGGACATTAATAGGCTGATGATGATGAGTTTCTTGTCGGTACTACTCAGTACAAGGTCCTCGGCGGTAGACATCCGAAATGATGGCATTTTTAACAGCCTAAACTCAATAAATAATTTTGATATTTTTTTTTATTTTGGTGTCGGTGGAACCTTTACTATTACGACCCCACCAGGTTGCCCAACGGCATCAAGTGAGAATTGGAAGAGCTTCTGAATGCAGGCATCCCAGGATACAAAGAAAAGTTTACTAGAAAAAAAAACATCTAGCAGTTAAATGCTTATAAAAAAAAAATGGTTGCCTGTAAAGTCGGTTTTACGGGCGAAGATTTTACGTGACAACGTCTTTTTCTCGGTAGAATATTTATTGATATGAATATAATTAAATTGCACAATAGGAACAAGGAATTGAATGAAAATAAGAATTGCACAAATTTTAACTATAGAAATATATTTTGTTTACTAAAACATTGTACATGTAAACTTAAACTTAACACGAGAGACTCATCGTAACGTTACCGAGCGTTACACTTTTTCATAAGTGACTCCCAGCCGCAACCTAATTTAAGACGTTGTCACGTCAAAAAATAAAAAAAAAACATCCGAGGATAGTTATATGTGAACAATCTCTAAAACATGCTGGGTATATCCCCAGCAGTGGGGACATTAATATTATTATCAAGTGACAGCCACAGATCACGGAGCGCAGATTACAGAAAATGTATTCTTTCGCACCTTGTGCCGGCACGTCATGCGGCTAATCGTGTTTGCTATTTGATAGATGTGTATCCACAACGGGCAGTGAGAGGAAGGGACTGCTATCGAGGCAGATGCGATTAGCCGTGTGAAGTTCCGGCATAACAGGCCCTGCCAGAATACCAGCGCTGCTGTGACACGTTTAGACATTCCCAAGTTTTATGTGTGGCAGGGCAGGTAGCTTTGTTTTCCAAACAGTTTCCGGATACTACTTTTGTATACACTTTAAATAAATCATGTGTAATTATAGTTATTATATATATGTATGATATCATCTTATTTTATCTCGCCAACAATCACTTCATTATTTGTCTCTATATTGTAGTAAATATGTGTTTGTCTCCACTGCATTGTCATGGCTGTTTTCTCTTTTCTCCTTGCAAAATCTTTTAAATGTTTATTATTAATAAAGCTAGTCTACTCACTCATAAAGGTGATCGCTGTAAATCGGTATTTTGCCTTAAAACTGGCAAATGTTTAGTCGAGCCTTGGCCTTTTGCTTTCTGCAGCATACATATAGATATTTCATAGCTGATTTCTTGTATCTTTTTTTTTTATTGTATTACTCTGTCTGTAAATGTATATGTATGTTGAAGAAAAAAAATTAAACGCATTATCTATCTATCTATCTATCATCTTTTGTAGCGTGTTGCGGCAGCATTACGTTGAGGCAGGGTCCTGATTTACCACAAATGGTGTTTTTTTTTTCTTTTTTCAATTCAATTCAATTCAATTCAATTCAATTCAATTCAATTCAATTCAATTCAATTTATTGCAGTCATGTAGTTACATGGATGGTTACAAGTTACAAAATGCATAAAGTACCTAACATGAACCCTGTCAGGGTATCGCAATATAGATAAAATTTACAAAAGAGAATTTAACAAATAAACAATTATCTATATAATATTTATTAAACAACTTTTTTTTTTCTCAAAGCATGCATAAATGTCATCTGATTTCATTAATTTTATAACTTACTCGATTGATCTTATGATGATTTCTATTGTATATTTTCATTTTTTTTTGTATGTTGTTTTGTAAATTTACTAATGTGGTCAATAAAAATGATTCTCTCTCTCTATCTCTCATTAATAGGCTGATAATGATGGTAAATAAATACTTACGGTACATCCTCCTCTTCGTCAATCGGTTCACTTTCCGCCTGAATGCTCTCCATTGCCGTCGAGTGCGCTACCAACCGCTGTCTATTTATAGACCTGTGCGAAAAAATATATACATATTTATAGATATATATATGTTACAATATAACATTTGGAATACATATATATATATATATATATATATACACAGTGAACTGTAGAGTTACCTGAGAAACTTTACCAGCTAATTCAGACAAAGATTTAGATTATATTACCTCAAATAAATATAAAAAATATTTAAAAAAAAACCTTTTTTTAAATAAAATTTAACGATTTCTTAAAAACTCATTGAACATACGTTGTTGTGTATGATGTTAGCAATGTAGTCCTGCAAGGTTTCTGGTATTTTAAAATTAACTCTGTATAGAATATATAGTCTTTATATTTAGAATATATATATATGTATATATATACACCGTGAACTTTTGAGTTACCTGAGAAACTTTACCAGCTAATTCAGACAAAGATTTAGATTATACTACCTCAAAAAAAAAAAGAAAAAAATTTTTTTTTCATAAAAATAACCTTTTTTTTATAAAAATAAAATTTAACGATTTCTTAAAAACTCGTAGAACATACGTTGTTGTGTATGATGTTAGCAATGTAGTCCTGCGAGGTTTCTGGTATTATAAAATTAACCCTGTATAGAATATATAGTCTTTATATTTAGAATATACATGGTGTCCAAAAATACAAATAAAACTTGAAGGGCATTAAAGTACATAATATAAGGAGTCTTCTCTAATTTTCTCAAAATATTTGCATGAAGTTTAAACTTTTTATTAAAACAGTTATTTTTAATGATTAATAAAAATATCGAACATTTTAAGGCACGTCACTAGTTCGACGATCATTAAAAATAACTGTGTTTATAAAAAGTCAAAACTTTATGCAAACATTTTAAGAAAATTGGAGAAGACTCCTTATATGATGTACTTCAACGTCCTTCAAGGTTTATTTGTATTTTTGTAACATCCTGTATAGTTATAAAAGTCGTATATAACTAAAGTCGTTTTCTAACCGAATTCCTTAGTGATATATCTCAGGTAACTCAAAATTCACGGTGCATGTATATATGTCACATAAACATGTCACACGGTTAATGGAATACTGATCTAATTAGTACCTTTGTTAATGTTGAATTTTGCACGATCACATGCTTGTATTGATATTTGTACTAACCCGAAGCGAAAGGCGCAGGTTCCATTCCTGTCTAATGAATCGAGTAGACTATTTTCTAGTAAAAATTTTCTTTAGATTTCTATATTTAGCAGAATCAATGCCTTAAAAATATATTATAATGTGTAATTTTAAATAAGGTGCCATTGTCGCTCCAACGATATTTGCATGTATGTAAATAAAATAATTAAAGATGGTGTTAATTCTTTGTTAATGCTTTCGACGACCTCCGTGGCCGAGTGGTATGTACGCTGGGTTTAAAGGTGTCGCCTACTCGAGAGGTCCCAGGTGCGAATCCAGGTGGGGTAGATGTTTGTGTGATGAATACGAGCAGTTGTACTCCAGTCATGGATGTCTAATATGTTTTTCTATATAAATATACTTATATATGTACAGTATATGTATTCTATCCGTTACCCTAGTATCACATAGCACAACTTTGGGGCTCGGCTAATAGGGTATTTGACAAGTTTTAGAAAACTATCTCAAGTTATTGACTAATGTTTATGGAGTCCGTAAAAAGTAGATATTCATCATTCTGTATTTCAGTCAAAATAACCAAATCAAAAACTCCATTTTCAAGTTGCCGCGAGAACGTTTCTCTGGACAATATGGCGTCTTACTAGTGTTTGACGTCACATGACTGTTATTAAAATTTCAAACGATACAATGTAATGTCACTTTAACCGGAAGTTTACTTGCGTGTGACGTCAGTTTAGGCTCCGTCAATCCCAAGCGTTTTGGTTCACTTGACAATAGATAAGAAAACTATTATCTCTTTCGTGGGTTTTTAGAAAATTATGAATATTTATTTTTGTGAAACTAGTAAAAACCCCTACCACTATTCATTCTAAACACAGATGCTAACAATTGGCACTTTATTTTTAATACTGTGAAATACCCCATTGGTGTACTAGATTTTTTTAAGTACTAATAGATCAGTAGTCCATTAAGCGTTCCAAACATAGTTATCATTGACAGAAGAAGAACACAACAAGGCATTTTTAATACATAACACATAAAACGTTAGTAAAAACAAAAGTTATTAAAATTACACCCTAGATACACCAACACGAACAAAATCGTGGCCGAAACCTGTCCAAAAGGTACATTGATCGAACCACGGAGCTCCGTAAGATGATCGCGTAGTCAAAATCAATATAAGGCATTATTTAAACATTGAAAGTAACCTTTAATACATACTGTATAAGGTCTTAAATTAAACGCATGCGTCAAGGACTTCTGACAGTTCGATATGCAAGCTCGTAAAATTTTACGACTTATATGCGGAAGAATTTAGACCTTAGTTCTTTGACTCTACGCGCAATTCTGAACGCGCTGTTAGCAATATAGCAGGCACGGACCGCGAGGAAAAGAGACGGCTATATTGCGACATTTAACCGACCATGCATTTGAATATCACAAATATTTTATATTAAATCAGTTTTAGTAAGTATTAGATCAAAATTTACTTCAAATGCGTTAAATTAACAAACATTGACCAGATACCTGTCCAAAAAACGACACTTTTCGTACTCTACGTATTACTTTCGCATTTTTTCGCGGAGTTCTGTGGCATCTTGACTTTGTAACGGTCCGCGCATGACTGTGAACCAAGAAGTGCTTGAGTGGAGTTCAAGCACTTCTTGATTGGGACACATTTTGAGCGCTCGTGGTGTATCTAGGGTATATAATATCGTTGTTTTAATAGTGAAAAAATACCAATTAACATTAGAAAGGAGTTCAGTAGAAAGAAACATTGACTATACAGATAACTACTTATTAATAAACAAGGAATAGGCTTAGACTAGTTACGCCGTGTTTTGCCATTTGTCATTCAATAGACAGAGACAAAATGTGGAGTAACTTATCCAACCGTAGTCTTCGTTCATTCATAAGAGGGTCAGGTATTAAATACATTAAACAGAAATGCAACATACAATACATTCTCCTGAAGGTAGTTTTAATAATAAGTTAGTACACATTTTAAAGACGAAAAATAATTTTAAAGACAGGATTAGCTTTTACAAGTATACTTTGGCCGGTTTAAATATTTCTCCAGCTCACTGTTGCGTAGAGAAAAGTATATCAAAAAGCTGAGCAAATCGGTCAACAAATTCGTCACCCTTCATCAGCGCGGTGTTTGTAATTTGTGACTTAAATGTGCTGACTTTTATACAAAGTACAGGTTTATTCAAATTTTCTCAATGGCAGTCCTTATTTTTACAAGTATTCGGCGTCGACATTTACACGCCCCACATATAACCAACAAGGAGTTATTAATTACTCGCCTCTTCAAGAGATGGCGCTACCGGCGCTGCGATCAATAAGTATGGAAGCCTACATCGCGCAAGGGAAATTCGGAGTCAAGCACTTAATTATATGCAATGCCCGATCAGAATCAGTCGAGCCGAGCCCGAGCTAAGATCACCCAGATCGGAGGAAGATCTTCCCGTTTAGCCCACCTACAAGTATCAAGATTATATTCTTAATGGAAGAAAAATAATAGCAATATTGTAATGATTATTATATGTCTCTCATTGAACCGTAGATCATGTATATTTTCTTTAGATTTAAACATCAAGCAGTTATATGCTTTAAAATAATAAAAATTATAATTATAACTATAATTGCTATTTCTTCTTTCAACTGTTTAATACTTGTAAAAGTATTCATTTGTGGGTTGCCTATAATGCGAAGAGATGGCGCTGCCTTGCAGCTTAAGAATGGCTAGAAGAATTTCGACGCGGTCCGTGAGGGCCGCGGTAGCATAATTGGTCAGCGCATTCGCCCGGATTGCGAAGGGTCCGGTTCGAGTCCCGTCTGCTGCCTGGTCCGCGTGGAATTTTTTCTAGTTACATTTTCTTTAGACGCAGATAATGTACTTAATGCACATTATAAAAATTAAGTTTTGGTTAAGTTACTAACTTTTAAGTAAAGTATAGCTCTTCAAAATCTAATTTCACTAAAAGAAGGTAATTATTAGTAGGAATTTTAGGGGCATGCTTTCAACTCGTGACGTCACAACATTTCGAGACATGCACACACAATCTGTTATTTCATTTGTTAGCTCCATTCTTAATGTAATGTTGTTAATAAACACATCCTTTCTTTGCGCCATTTAGAGTTAGGATGTTACTAAGTCGATAACGGAAAATGGTAGATAAAATCATAATTGTTTGTTTATAAAAAAAAATATCACAGCCACAGGTGAATATAATGAAATCGCAATGTTTAAGTAAATAATTAAATTGTAATACAGTAGAACTCCAATTATCCGAATTAATGGGGACCGGGACCCATTCGGATAATCAAATATTCGGATAATCGGTTTTTTTTTAAAAAATTGCCATTGGAGAGAATAAAAGCTACGTTTTGATATTGCACTATTTTTTTATTGAATTAAATGAAAGAAACATGAATTTTCGCGGGGGGAAGTCAGTGTAGGCACAACGGCAAGTTAAGACAAGTCAAGTCAAGACTTGACGCGCAAACACTGGCTTCGCGGTGGGAAGAATAATAGCGCACTTAGACTTTTTTTGGCCAATTTTTTGTGATTCGGATAATCGGCGATTCGGATAGTCGGAGTTCGGATAATTGGAGTTCTACTGTATTTATTATTTTGATATTTCCCATCTCTGTAATGAAATCTAGGAAGCTGTTATCTACGAAGAACTGATATTGACATATTATATCGATCGATTTCATAAGAAAAATGTTTATTTATTTTCATTTGGGAAACATACAGTTTTACACAATTCAATTATGTAAGTTTTCCATAAACCAGTTAAGTTTCCACAGACTGAAACATTCATACACTTACATAATTTACTTAATGTTCCAAAACTACACCTTTAATGAAAAAACCTGCTTGTCATGCTAACTTAGAGAATATAAAATATATTAATTATTGATGCATGTATTTAAAAAGTCTTTCAATTTATATGTAAACAGAGATTGATATTTTCAAATATTATTAATTATAATCAGAAATCATAAATCAATATTTCTTTATTCAAATTGGATGTATAGTACAACTCTTTTGAATCGTCCAAAATTTTTTTTTCCCTACCACTCGTTATGGACATATTTTTTAGCTGCGGAGAAAAACGAGCGAAAAAAACTCCACAACATTAAATGTTTACAACATTTACAAATCATTATGTTGTTACAACGTCAACACGATTATGATTTATTTAATATAGAAAACCTGTTGGAATGATTGGAACAGTTCAAACCCAAGCATTTTTGTCTGTAATATAATCAGACACTTTGTAATAAGCTTTTTTAATAAGTGTTTTTTTTTATAATATCTTTAAATTTATTTATGGCTAACTCTTGGATATTGCTTGGGACTTTATTGTATAAGCGAACACAAAGACCTTTAAATGAATTATTAATTTTGTGAAGCCTAGTAGCAGGTAAAGTAGTTTAAGTGTGTGAACATCACTGTTTTTAAGAAACAAATTAATATTTTTTCTTACAAGTAATAAATTTTCGTAAATGTATTGTGATGCGACCGTCATTATTCCAAATTCTTTAAACTTATCTCTTAATGATTCTTTAACTTTAAGATTATAAATTGATTATGAAAATTATGATATTTCTGCTTCACAACATAGTGATAAACGAATTTATTGCATATGACTGTATCTACCATATGATTGTCAGGCAGGCACTAGTTACATATATATATGAACAAACATATAAACTTGGCGTACTGTGATCTTTTCACTTGGGCGTTGAATTCTTCTTTGCTTTGCTCAGATCTGAAATGTTTGAAATCACATCGAGTGTCATAGTGTTGTTGCTTGATCGATAAACGAAATATCGACATTATATAAATTAATAATATTTATAAAAAAACCAACAAAAAATAAACTTTGTGATTACGAAATGTTTTATGAATGCATCAAAGTATGGATGATAAAATGTGTGATATTTAAATAAAATAGAATCAATAAGTTTACTGATAAACAACATTGTTTGATTGACAAACTTAAATTTAAAACGTTTACAGGAACTGTACCCAATGTTATCAATCATAAGTATCATTCTTGTGTGCATACCTTAAATTTAAAGTATCAAATTGACAATAAAAAGTATCATTTTAACGTGTATTCCAATTCCTTACTAAACATAGTAACATTTATTATAATGAAAGAAATAATTAAGCATTGGATAATGTCTTAAAAACCAAATTAACTTTCAAACGTTCACAGTAAACTGTACCCTATGTTTTAGTCAATAAGTATCATTCTAGCGAGTAAATTAAATCCTTACTACACAAAATAATAAATATTTAACTGGACGACAACACAAAATTTGAGTACGGAGTAATGTTTCAATAAGCAAAATCAAGTTACAAAAGTTCATGGGAAACCGACCCCTACTAGTTTCATAATAAGAGTGGGGTAATTTAAATAATATTTAATTTCATTAATATTGCATGAGGTATAGTAATTTAATTGGAAATTGTTTTAGAATAGGGGTGATGACGGGGTACAGTAAACGAAATTCTATTTAGTCCTTCAGTTAGATGATCAAAAAATAATGGACACGTATTTTTTCTTTGGGCAATCAACCAAAAAATGACAAAGTTATAGCGCGTCAAAGTTTGGGAGTAGGGGCTCGTGACGTCACTTTTAAGTGAAAATTGTACCAAAACGTGACGACATGCGACTTTTCAAATCAATATATCTCTGCAATGTTTATATTATGAGAAAAAAGAAAAAATACGTGTCCAATACTTTCTGATAATCTACCTGATAAACGAAGAAAAAAAAATTAGTCATCATCCCTATTGACATGAAAATGCAATTATATTAGAGTTATTGAAATTGTATGCTAATTATATTTAATTTGATTGAAATTTTAATTTTGTGATTTCCAATACAATGAAAATTGTTTAAGAAACAAATGTCTACAACCCTAATATTTGACGTACACAATTTGATATTCACAGGAAATTGACCCCTATCTTGATACAACTAAGTGTCAAATTAGCGTGTTTTTTCCTCACCTAGTTCGGTTGAGCCCGCCTCGCTTCGGTTCGCCTTCGGCATCGTCGTCGCTGTGGCCGGAGTCGTTACGTTTCCTAGCTTCCGACTTCTCCCTGTGTGCTTCGTCTAGATTGTGAATACCTACTAGGAGAGAGTAATCCATGATCTGTGGGAGAGGAGAGATAAACAAGTTGTTAGAACTTGTGAACGGATTCTGACGTTGTACTTAACTCTAAAATTAAAAAAAAAACGAACAACAGCAGCCCATATCACCCATTTTAATCGTTATCTATATAATATATGTCGGCGGATGGCGTCTCGCTCGCTCCTGCGAAACGTAAAACCTACAACAAATGTCATCAGTCATTGTACCATTGCTTTGTGAAACGTCAAGTTATGACAGTGACAGCTGTCATCACTTGGGAGTGGTCTATGCTAAGGGTAGTATTTAAGGGGGTAACGCTTCATTGGAAGGGGCATTCAGCATTCAGCATTCAGACGTGAGCCGCGGTAGTGAAAAGACGCACAGAACTGTCCGCGCTTCACAAAGCAATCCATTTGTATCCTAATAATCGTAACATATTTTGTAAAGTAATTTAAAGTTTTAAATTAAACATTATCTTGGTTATTAGACTGCAATTTAATTTCCGGAAAATAACATCAAACACCCAAGATGGCGGATCAAGAAAAACCACGTGGCCAACCGCCTATCCAGCTCGCCTCTCCGATATATATATCATTTTTTTATGCCTAAAGAGTAGGCACATGTCATTCCTAAACTTTGTTAAACAAGATTTTTATACTTTTTTTATTCTATACACCTAATTTTTACATTATTTACATTTGTAATGGAAAGCGACTTTTTTATTATTTATAGTATTAAAATTCTTTTAAGTATTAAAGTGAGTTAAAGGTGTAAGTATATTAGAAGTGCATCCAAGGAGGTTCGACCGAAATTATAAAAAAAAAACGACGGGTTGCACTCCGGGAGTGCCGGCAGAAGTGAAAACTTGAATATTAACGTTGTGCATTTTTGATATTTTGGAATGGTTAGGGAATAATTTTGCACGAATTGCTTTAATTATCAGCATAAAAGTACTATCATGTATGTGGTAGAACACAATATTTATCTATATATTGCGCTATCGTACACAAACAAGACAATTTATATTACCTGTAAAAAGTTTATCTCTCAGAAAAATCAACTTACATGAATCACGTTTAAGCGCACCTAGCGACATCTATTGTAAAAATGCATTTTCTTCGCAATAATAGTGATAGTAATAATAGATAGAGACTTATTATTATAATACGGTTTAATAAAATATTACTATGTTTCGTCCAATATATTGAAAGTCAACAACCTTTCCCATTTTATTGTGTGTCATGATGCGATCAGCCCACGTATTTAACCTGACGCGAGTTTAACATTTTTTACCCATACAAAAAAAAAGTGTACAACGCCACTAAAGAAGTTTTCACTTCAAAAACTGTAAAGGATACGCACGGCGCCATGTATGGGAGCGTGCGATAAAACATTTTACCGCACGATCCGTTGTATTTCCCTAATTTTGAACTTTCAAACAAGTTTGTACTACAACCTGCGTAAATGCATTTTTTGAGCGATCGTGTTAAAGACGATATTGAACAGGGGAGCAGGTAGAGAGATAAGCAATAATGAATACACGCTACAGTTTGAGTCTGGGTAATGTTAATCTTTTACTGAAGTAAACTGCGATCATTAATAGGGTATTTGACAAGTTTTAGAAAACGATCTCACGTCATTGACTAATGTTTATGGAGTCCGTAAAAAGTGGATATTCATTATTCTGTTGTGTATTTCAGTAAAAATAACCAAATCGAAAACTCCATTTTCAAGTTGCCCCGAAAACGTTTCTCTGGACAATATGGCGTCTTACTAGTGTGTGACGTCAGACGACTGTTATTAAAACGTCAAACGATACAATGTAATGTCACTTTAACCGGAAGTTTATTTGCGAGTGAAGTCATTTTAGGCTCCGCCAATCCCAAGCGTTTTGGGTCACGTGACAATAAATAAGAAAACTATTGTCTTTTTCGTGGGTTATTAGTAAAATTATGTTTTTTTTTTGTAAAAATAGTAAAAACCCCTGCCAATATTCATTCCAAACACAGGTGAACACAATTGGCACTTATTTTTAATACTGTCAAATACCCTATTGCTTAGATTGAGATCACTTTTATGGCAGTTTAATAGGTACCTACTACATAGCATAACTCCGAAAGTACCGAGTTTTGACATTTGCTGCTGTAATAATAAGTTTTATTCATTATAGTAATATAAGTTATTAACGGGATTGTTACCACGTACCGTGTTTTTAGCGAGTTTCCGATATTTGGGCACTGTTGCAAGCCCCATAATCAGGGAGTAACTGAAGTAATTGCGGGTAGGCTGTTATTGGCAGACATATCGGTCTACCCTCCGACGAAGTCTTTTATTGCGTTCGATACCCGTACCACTGTTCACATTCTCACTATTCACTCGAAACTGTCCTCGACACACAACACTTACAGTATCGGATCGCGACACGACACTTTTTTGATTATTTCCGGTTTTACACATACGAACCACAGGATTTCAGACACTCGACAATTTAAACCCGTCCTCACGATTGAATTTTTTATGTTTTGTTATTTCAATCGCTTCCCTGACCAATCTTGGTATGTAGTGGAACCAAGTTACCGTGATCATGGCGCTTGCAACAGTGCCGAAATATCGGAAACACACACTGCAAGACCATCAGATACTATTAGTTCTTTTTGTTTGCATAATTTAACATAAGAAGGAGATAGAAAGCCTCTCTTGAGTTTGTTTCGCCGGTTCTTCTCAGGAAGGTCTCCCAATTTTGGAACCGGTGGTAGTTTACGGTAGTTAGGGTCAAATAAATAAACTCAAAATTACAAACAAGAATTTTAAATAAAATACTTTATTAAGTAAATTAAATAATAAATTCATACATAGACAATAAAATTTTAAAAATCTTCCAATGAAATAACCGAACGCACAATATAATTCTTTCGAAGGTTGCTCGACAATTTTAAATAAAATCATTATTCTGACGATACAGACCTGAAAAGGCTGCGAAACGTCATAAATAAATAAAGTTTCGTGCATTAACCCGTAAAAACTAGTTTTATTTAATGAGTGATGTGCGTGAAAACCTAAGAAACAAATATATCGGAAACTCGCTAAAAACAAGATACATGGTAACAATCCCGTAAATAACTTATATTACTATAATGTTAGTGACCATGAAAGTTTAAACCAATAAGTTTTATTCAGCACTAGTGGCCCGCCCTCGCTTCGCTTCGGTGTAGAGCTGTAGTGTAAATTATAGTTTTTGTTCTCAGGCTTGTGCTATAAACAATGACTTTATTTATATAATTACACGTGTTATTGTGAGTAAACCATAAAAGATAGACATATACTGTTGCGGGATATTTTTTAGACAATTTTATGTTGAATATTTCCGTCATACATGATTTCTATGTAACTTTAACCATTAAGGCTGCACACGCGACGGAAGCTTAAAATATGGAGTAACTTCTCCCGTTTTCCCAACATTTCCCTTCACTACTCTGCTGCTATTGATTGTAGCGTGATGAAAAGTATACAATAACTTGCCCAGGAGTATGAGGAATAATTGTACCAAGTTTCGTTAAAATCCGTCGAGTAGTTTTTGTTTCTATAAGGAACATACACACAGACGGTATGCGTGACTACTTTGCGTCCGTCCCCTGGAAGCAGCGCTGCTTCAGTGACAGGGACCTATCGGCCAGTGCCGTTGCCATTACTGAGGAGATTATAATGGGTATGGAATACTATATTCCTCATTCTGATCTCATCAGTAAGGGCACGCGTAACCTCTGGTTCAATCACGACTGTGCTGAAGCTGCTTCGCGTAAGCAAGCGGCATATCGTGCTTGGATCAGAGGGCGCGCTCTCAAGGATCCCGAGGTCGATTTACTCAAAGCAGCCTACAATTTTGCTTCCAAGGCCTGTAAGAAGGCTTACATTAGAGCGGATGCCCAGCGCGTTGCACGTGTTGGCCAGGAACTTATGACGCATCCTACGGGCTCCCGTAGCTACTGGCGTCTGGCCAAGGCCGTGCAAAAAAACTTCTGCGAGCCCTCGCTGCCACCTCTGAGATGCCCAGACGGAACACTAGCCCATAAGCCGCAGGAGAAAGCCGATTTACTGGCAAAACTCTTTGCGGCTAACTCCCGAATCGATGATTGCAATGCACTGCCACCATCATTACCTCACTGTGGCACAACGTTGCCTGATATTAAAATCAGGCAGCGCGAGGTTCGTGCCGAATTGCAATCACTCGACGTCCGGAAAGCTAGTGGACCTGATGGCATCCCAGCAGTAGTACTCAAAAAATGTGCAGCGGAGTTGTCTCCCGTGCTCACGCGCTTGTACCAATGCTCGTATTCTTTGGGGCGTGTGCCGGAGACTTGGAGAGATGCTAACGTGCAACCGGTGCCCAAAAAGGGGATCGCTCAGACCCGGCAAACTACCGGCCAATAGCAGTCACCTCAGTTTTATGTAAAGTTTTAGAAAAGGTCCTTAATAACCATCTGACCCGCTACCTAGAGGATCACTCCTTGATTAATGATCGTCAATATGGTTTTAGACCGAAACGATCGACGGGTGATCTTCTAGCGTACTTAACTCGTATCTGGGGTGAGGCTATCGATAAGCGTGGCGAGTCGTTGGCTATCAGCCTTGACATTGCCAAGGCGTTTGACAGGGTCTGGCACAAAAGCCTTCTCTCCAAGCTTCCGGCATACGGTCTGCCAGCCCAGTTCTGTTCTTGGGTAGCTGACTTCCTGCATGAGCGTAGAATTCGTGTCCTTACGGATGGTAGCAGTTCGCGGTTCATGTCAGTGAATGCCGGCGTTCCCCAGGGCTCCGTCCTATCCCCCACTCTCTTTCTGCTGCATATCAATGACTTAATTCCTCTTGGGAATATTCATTGCTATGCAGACGATAGTACAGTGCATGCGGGGTATCTCGGACAAGCAGCGGCTGGGCTGGCGGTAACCAAGGAGAAACGCGAGAATCTTGTCATTGAACTCAATCAGGCTTTGGACCACATTTCCGAATGGGGTACCAGGAACTTGGTTGAGTTCAATGCCAAAAAAACTCAGGCTTGCGCTTTCACGGCAAAAACATCGTCATTCCTTCCCCTTCCATCTCTTCAGGGCACAACACTACCGCTGCAGAGCAACATTTCCATGCTCGGTATGGAAGTTCGCTCAGACCTGAATCCAAAGAACTACATCGAAACCGTGATCAAAACAGCTTCACGCAAACTCGGAGTCCTGAACAAGGTGCGGCGTTTTTTCACGCCCGATCAACTGTGCCTGTTGTACAAAACGCAAGTGCGGTCCTACGTGGAATATTGCTCGCACCTCTGGGATGGCTCCGCCAAGTACTTGCTCGATGCTTTGGATAGGTTACAGCGGCGCGCGATCCGCATCATAGGCGATGAGGAGGTGACTAAACACCTTGAGCCTCTTCAATTACGCCGTGACGTGGCGTCACTAAGCGCGTTCTATCGTCTGTACCACGGCGAGTGTTCTGAGGAGTTATTCTCTCTTATCCCACCTTCTCCTTTCCTTCAGAGGACCACGCGCGCTGGCCTACGTTGTCACCGTCTAACTGTGGCCACAATTCCAACGCGTACAAAGAAATTTGGTGACTCATTTCTTTGTCGCACTATCCGTAAATGGAATGCTCTGCCCGCTCACGTGTTCCCTCCCTCTTACAACCTGGGATCCTTTAAAAGAGGCGTGAAGAAGCAACATGCAGGCCGGCAGGGTGAGGATGGCTGGTGTGGCAGGTAAAACTGCTGTATCAGCTATCGTCACGTCTGGACTTCACCTTCACTTAACATCAGGTGGGGTGGACTCATTTGTCGGACCTATCTAGAAAAAAAAAAAAAAAAAAAAAAAACAGACAGACAGACAAAAATTTTACTGATTGCATTTTTGGCATCAGTATCGATCACTAATCACCCCCTGATAGTTATTTTGAAAATATATTTCATGTACAGAATTGACCTCTCTACAGATTTATTATAAGTATAGATTAAATTACCTATCATTCATATGTTTCTTACCACCCAGCATTACCAATTGTCTTTTCAATTTACCTTAAAACTCTCCAGCACCCTGCAGTCTCTCTGCATTGTCTTAATGAGAGCGTTGTAAGTGTCCGCCTCCAGGAATATTCCCTCCGTGTGGTGTTCCATGAAGTCCAAGTCCTTGTATGTGGGTGAGCCTTTCTGGCGTTCCGATTTACTCGCCTGATGGGACGAAGAGATAAATTCAAATTCATTGAAACCTAAAGAAAAGTTTACTAGAAAAAAATTCCACGCCGACCAGGCAGCAGACGGGACTCGCACTCGCACCCTTCGCTATCCGGGCGAATGCACTAACCGTTTTGCTACCGCGGCCCTGACGACCGTGTCGAATTTTCTCTAGACTTAGGCTGTAAGGCAGCGCCATCTCTTCGAATTTTATGTAACCAACGAAATGAAATACCTTTACAGGTATTAAACATTTGAAAGAAGGGTGCGGGTTCGAGTCCCGCCAGCTGCCTGGTCCGCGTCGATTTTTTTCTAGTAAACTTTTCTTTAGATTTAAACATCACAACATAACTCAAATCATTTATTTCAGAACTAGGTGATATAGTTTTAGTTACATTTGATTTACTTATAAATATGTTAGTATTGTATTTGTGGAGCTCGATGGCGCAAGTGGTTAGCGCGTTCGGCTGCTATTGTTGAAGTTAAGCAACTTTCGCAGCGGTCGGTCATTGGATGGGTGATCAAAAATTTTCTATCTGGTTATCCTCCGTGCTTCGGAAGGCACGTTAAGCCGTTGGTCCCGGCTGCATCTGCAGTCGTTAGCACCCACCAATCCTCACTGGGCCACGTGGTGGGTCATGGCCCAATCTTCCTATTCCATCCAGGGAAGGCCTGTGCCCCAGCAGTGGGGACATTAATAGGCTGATGATTATGATGATGTTAGTATAATAGTGAATTACAAAAAATATTATTGCATGGTATGGAGCTTCAACCAGTGTCGTAGCAGAGGAGAAAGTAAGTCAGTATGTTCTTCGTGTGTTATCATCATCATCAGCCTATTAATGTCCCCACTGCTGGGGCACAGGCCTTCCCTATGGTTGGAATAGGGAGATTGGGCCATGACCCACCACGCGGGCCCAGTGCGGATTGGCGGGTGCTAACGACTGCAGATGCAGCCGGGACCAACGGCTTTTAACATGCCTTCCGAAGCACGGAGGAACTCCAGATAGAAGATTTTTGGTCACCCATCCAATGACCGACCGCTGCGAAAGTTGCTTAACTTCAACGATCGATATCCTCCTCTTGTGTATTATGAGACTGATCATTTTATTTATTTTATTTTAAGCCTCTCCTGTAAGTTGTACTGTGAGTTTCTTTTTAAAGTACATATGTATATGTGTGTGACACACACACACACACACACACACACACGCACGCACGCACGCACGCACGCACGCACGCACGCACGCACGCACGCACGCACGCACGCACGCACGCACGCACGCACGCACGTTAAGCCACTGTTAGGTCCATTTCATAAAAAATATTTAACATAAGCTACTTTTGTAAAATATATGACTGATTGTTGGCAAAAAAAAGAAAAAAAAAGGCTGATCAATTCCCCTTACCTTTCTCTTGTAAGTGCTCCCTTTCAGGTCGTATTTCTGGTGAAGTTTGACATACGAAGGCAATATGTTGTTCATGGCCACCAATCGGACGTTCTTGCTATTGCACTGGTAACAGTATAAGCCGAAGAACTTGGGTAGCAATGTGCGTGGATTCTGGGGGGAAAACGATACGATATTAATAGGGTGTTTGACAAGAAAGAGTACAGCTCTTTGTTAGTATATTATTAAAAAACCGCAACTTCTTTAGAATAGGGTATTTGACAAGTTTAAGAAAACGATCTCACGTTATTGACTAATGTTTATAGAGTCCGTTCCGTCCGATATTCATCATTCTGTTGCGTATTTCAGTAAAAATAACCAAATCAAAAACTCCATTTTCAAGTTGCCGCGAAAACGTTTCTCTGGACAATATGGCGTCTTACTAGTGTGTAACGTCACACGACTGTTATTAAAACGTCAAACGATACAATGTAATGTCACTTTAACCGGAAGTTTACATGCGTGTGACGTCATTTTAGGCTCCGCCAATCCCAAGCGCTTTGGGTCACGTGACAGTAGATAAGAAAACTATTATCTTTGTCATAGGTTTTTAGTAAAATTATGAATATTTTTTTTGTAATAATATTCAAAAACCCCTGCCAATATTCATTCTAAACACAGATGCTAACAATTGGCACTTTATTTTTAATACTGTCAAATACCCTATTATGACACTGTGGCGACATCTACATGCCACTAAGCGCGCTGGCCTACGTTGCCACCGACTTACTGTGGCCACTATTCCTACACGAACAAAGAAATTTGGTGACACATTTCTTTGTCGTAGTATTCGTAAGTGGAATTCTTTGCCCGCGCACGTGTTCCCTCCTTCTTACAATCTGGGGTCCTTTAAGAGAGGCGTGAAGAAGCATTTTTGCAGGCCGACAAGGTGAGGATGGTTGGTGTGGCAGGTAGAACTGCTGTGCCAGCTATCTTCACGTCTGGACTTTACCGTCACTTAACATCAGGTGGGGTGAAGTCATTTGTCGGACCTATCTATAAAAAAAAGGTCTTCCCGTTTGTATGAAGGCCTACAACATTTTTATGTAACACTAGCGGCCCGCCCTCGCTTCGCTTCGGTGTAGAGCTGAAGTGTAGACTACAGTTTTTGTTCTCAGGCTTGTATATACACAATGACATTCATCTATGATTCTTCTTATTCCTGCATGCAAAGTCCCAGCCCGATCGGTTCAAAATTGACAAAGTTTCATACAAACTTCCATTCCCTATTTTATCCCCTTGGGGGTAATCCTTTTTGACCGGATGCCTACGTCATAACATCTACCTGCATGCCAAATTTCAGCCCGATCCGTCCAGTGGTTTGAGCTGTGACTTGATAGATCACTATGTCAGTCAGTCACCTTTGAGTTTTATATATATAAGACTAGTGACCCACCCTCGCTTCGCATCGGTCAATACTGTAGTTTTGACGCTTATATCGCTTATAGGAAGAGTTTGTCATAATTTTCAGCAGAATTTATATTTGGGTGGAGATCAGCGTCGCAAACTTCGATGAAATCATCGCTCACGGCCCTGTGTTATTCTCCACCAATCAACACTTACCTGGTATTAATTTCCACCAATCAACATTTACCTGGTATTATTTCCCACCAATCAGCACTAACCTGGTTATTCTCCACCAATCACCACTCACCTGGTTCAGATTCAAGTAGTAGCCGGGCAGCAGTTTCTGCAGAAACTCCCCCTCCTTATGCTGCACCGTTTTGATGATTAATTCATCGTCGTCGGTCAGGTAGAAAATGTTAGAAAAGCTGGACGTGACACCAATTGCAAAGTATTTTCTATTAAGTTTGTTAAGCAAATGACTATACCCGTAATACAATGTTAGTAAAAGTGGTGGTAGAGAAATCCAGACGCGTCAATAGCAAGTGATTATTCTTCACCAATCAACATTTACCTGGTATTATTTCCCACCAATCACCACTTGCCTGGTATTATTTTCCACCAATCACCACTGACCTGGTTATTCTCCACCAATCAGCACTAACCTGGTATTATTTTCGATCAATCACCACTTACCTGGTATTTTTTTCCACCAATCACCACTCACCTGGTCGAGATTCAAGTAGTAGCCGGGCAGCAGTTTCTGCAGAAACTCCCCCTCTTTATGCTGCACCGTTTTGATGATGAATTCGTCGTCGTTGGTCAGGTAAAAGATGCTGCCTGACGCGCCAGGGTTGCTGAGCTCGCGTAAGGGTGCGCTGCACATTGACATCTGGACGGGCAAAAAAGCGATTTGAAACAGGGTTCATCAGGGATTTATTGATTACTAGATGACCTTGGTGTACTTCGTGTCACCAATGAAGAAGGTCAAATGTTTGACAGGAAAGCGAGTAGAACATTTAATATGGGAAAATTAAATTGTTGATTTTAACCATCTTCTTCGCTTTTTTTCCATATTGTCTCACCCTTTAAACCTTCCCTGGGGGCAGTGGCGGCGCCAGACTACATGTGGACGTCGGCGACATCAAGTTCGCGAGGCCTTTTTTACTTCGCAGTAAAAAACCGTTAAATTAAGAGAGCCAAATTATAAAATAACGTATGAGTAAACGAGTTTTATTGTTGACTAGTGGCCCGCCCTCGCTTTGCTTCTGTGTAGAGCTGTAGTGTAAACTATAGTTTTTGTTCTCAGGCTTGTGCTATAAACAATGACTTTATTTATATAATTACACGTGTTATTGTGAGTCAACCATAAAAGATAGACATATGCTGTTGCGGGATATTTTTTAGACAATTTTATGTAGAATATTTCCGTCATACATGATTTCTATGTAACTTTAACCATTAAGGCTGCACCCGCGACCGAAGCTTAAAAAATGGTGTAACTTCTCCTTTCCTTCTTTTCCCAACATTTCCCTTCACTACTCTGCTGCTATTGATTGTAGCGTGATGAAAAGTATACTAAAACCTGCCCAGGAGTATGAAGAATAATTGTACCAAGTTTCGTTAAAATCCGTTGAGTAGTTTTTGTTTCTATAAGGAACATACACACAGACAGACAGACAGACAGACAAAAAATTTACTGATTGCATTTTTGGCATCAGTATCGATCACTAATCACCCCCTGATAGTTATTTTAAAAATATATTTCATGTACAGAATTGACATCTCTACAGATTTATTATAAGTATAGATAATCAATAGATGACAAAAAATAATTACAAAAATAGAAATTTAATTACAAAAATAGTGTTGCCAGACAGTTGATTCTGAATATCTGTAAAGTACTACTCGCTTCCATCACGCACGTGTTCGAAAATAAAATAATAAAAGTCATTATCACCTGCTTAGCTTTTTCCCCAAAATTTTCGGGGTTTGCTACCTAAGCCAGGCCAGGAGAAACGAAAATAAATAGGCAACTTGTAAAAATTTTTTGCGAGGCCCCCTCAGGCGCGAGGCCGTCGGCGGTGGCCGACGTCGCCGACGCCTAGCGCCGCCACTGCCTGGGGGCCATTCGCCTAACGGAAATGCTTTGGAAAACGCTAACGCTTTCGATTTTATTTTGTTATTTCTGACCGCCAAAGGTTTTCAAATACCTCACGCTCATTTTTTTTACTTTTGTTATTACCAATGCAAAAGAAAAAAAAAGAGCGCGAGGCATTTAAAAACCTCAGGCGGCTAGAAATAACAAAATGAAATCGTAAGCGTTAGCGTTTTCCAAAGCATTTCCGTTAGGCGAATGGCCCCCAGGACTACGACAAACATTTCAAAACCAAAATCAGCTGAATAGACCAAGTTTTAGTGATTTATATACCTACTAGCGGACCCGACAGACGTTGTCCTGTCTACACGTCTTTGTGAATCTAATAAAGATATATCTTTATATATATAATTCTTCTGTGAGTGTGTATGTCACTGAACTTCTCTTAAACGACTGGACCGATTTTGATGAAATTTTTTGTGTGTGTTCAAGGGGATCTGAGAATGGTTTAGATTTACAATTTTGTCCGCTGGACAATGTTTTTTTATTTTTTTTTTTTTTATGGCGGTACGAAGTTCGCTGGGTCAGCTAGTATATATATATATAAATAATTGCTGTTCGTTAGTCTCGCTAAAACTCGAGAACGGCTGAACGGATTTATCTTATCTTGGTCTTGAAATGTTCGTGGAGATCTAGGGAAGGTTTAAAAGGTGAGAAAATATGGAAAAATTTGCGAGGAAGATAGTAAAAACGTCAATTTAATTTTCCCATATAAATTGTTCTATCTTCTTTCCTGTCAAACATTTGACGTTCGTCCCTTTTGGTACGGTAGACTCGGGTCCGTCATATATATAAGAAGATATTTTTTCCTATTTATTCTTTATTACCATTAAAGCAGTAAATGGCGGACTTAATGCCAAAGGCATTCTCTATCTTAGATATCTATGACCAAATGGACTTGACAGGTCCTAAAATAACCCGACTGCAGCGCCACCTATATGGAACATTCTATAAAGTAGGTATTAGACAAATTTAAATAATTGTGTTGTACTGCTTTTATAAAGAACAGAAATAGTTCAAAATCAAATAACAAATGCCTTGGCAACACGTTTCATTTGTAATCCTGTAAAATCATTTTTTTTTCCTCAAAAATCACGGTTTGTCTTGAATAATATTTGCGTAATAGACATTTTGTTATCAAGAAAAGGACAACAATACAGCTCAGCCATAGCGTACAGTCCTGTCTCGCTCGCTCGTTTTTTTTAAATTTATTTAGAAACCAACTGCGTTACAAAGTATATATACATACCCACATGGGTCTAAAGTATAATCTAAAAGTAAAGCTAATTATAGGTTTCCTCTAAATACATCATTATTTGTTTAGGCAGATGTAACTTATGACATTATTTTTAAAGAACTTTAACTATGATATTCAATTTAATCGAAAATCTAAGAAAACAAAAAAAACCACATATTGCCTTGGTTCGCAGCCATTGGGATATATGTATTTCACAGCAATCCTGTTCATCATGTATTTTCATGATTTTTTTTTGTCATCTGCATACATTAAGCGTCTCGTCGATTTAAAGTAGGATGCTATATCTGATGTATAGACATTATAGAGTAATGGACCTAAATGCGAACCTTGAGGAATGCCCGTGGATTGAATGTTAATATACAGACGTGTGCGTGTGTGAGAGTTGTTTATGCAGTTGAGTCGGATCATATTTTATTTGATGCTAGTATTAGCGTACCGTATCTTAACTTTTTGTTTTAATATAAGGCCTCAAGTGGTAGAAGTACTTCACAAGGTGCATACAAACTTCAAATTTGCAACAATATCGCACTCAACCGTGTGCAAATTATATCCAAACTAGCGGCCCGCCCTGGCTTCGTTTCGGTGTAGAGCTGAAGTGTAGACTACAGTTTTTGTTCTCAGGCTTGTATTATACACAATGACATTCATCTATGATTCTTCTTATACCTGCATGCAAAGTCTCAGCCCAATCGGTTTAAAATTGACAAAGTTTCATACAAACTTTCATTCCCTAGTTTATCCCCTTGGGGGTAGAATTGATCAAAATCCTTTTTGACCGGATGCCTACATCATAACATCTACCTGCATGCCAAATTTCAGCCCGATCCGTCCAGTGGTTTGGGCTGTGCGTTGATAGTTCACTAAGTCAGTCGGTCACCTTTGAGTTTTATATATATATATATATATATATAGATACTATAAATGTTTGTCCTCATGTAAGAACTAATAACGTATACTCCGATAAAGTAACCGGATACAGAGCTCATGCCATTCGGAATAATGATAAAATGTAACCACAATACAAACATTATGAAACTGCTCTATCGAAAATTATGTAATCAGTGGTAGCTATTAAAAATAATGAGACAGATTTGAAATTTTCAATACCAACTTGTTTGTATGTTTTAATAGGGTATTTGACAAGTTTTTAGAAAACGATCTCACATGATTGACTAATGTTTATGGAGTCCGTAAAAAGATATTATTCATCATTCTGTTGTGTATTTCAGTAAACAACAACAAAAACAAAAACAACCAAATCAAAAACTCCATTTTCAAGTTGCCGCGAAAACGTTTCTTTACACAATATGGCGTCTTACTAGGGTGTGACGTCACACGAGTGTTATTAAAACGTCAAACGATACAATGTAATGTCACTTTAACCGGAAGTTTACTTGCGTGTGACGTCATTTTAGGCTCCGCCAATCCCAAGCGTTTTGGGTCACGTGACAATAGATAAGAAAACTATTATCTTTTTCGTGGGTTTTTAGTAAAATGATGAATATTTTTTTTGTAAAAATAGTAAAAACCCCTGCCAATATTCATTCTAAATACAGATGCTCACATATGGCACTTTATTTTTAATACTGTAAAATACCCTATTGAATCATTATCATCAGCCTTTTAATGTATCCACTGCTCTGGGGTACAGGCCTTCCCTATGGATGGAATGGGAAGATTAGGCCGTGACCCACCACGCGAGCCCAGTGCGGATTGGTGGGTGCTAACGACTGCAAATGCAGCCGGAAACAACGGCTAAACGTACCTTCCGAAGCACGAAAGAACTCGAAATAGAAGATTTTTGGTCACCCATCCAATGGCCGACTATTGCGAAAGTTGTTTAACATCCACGATCGCTGACCGAGGGTTCTAATTAGCTCGCCAATCGCTTTACACGAATTACAATTTTTTTATATATATTCTTTGATTAGAGGGTGAATGACGCATAGAACAATTGTAACACTTGTCAAAGTGATAATTATGTTGGCTAAACTGACACCAGGACCCTGGAGGCACTGTGACCAGTGCTCCGCTAATGGAGGGAGAGGAGGCATGGGTCGCTGACCTTCCCTCTGGTGCAGGTGCTGTCAGGGCACGGATGCTTCGGCAGCTACCTGCATCGCATACGGAGAGAAGCGACCCCGTCGTGCCATCATTGTGGCGCTGTCGGGAACACGGCGCAGCATACCATAGAGGAGTGCCTGTCGTGGTCCCGGCAGCGCCATGATATGGTCATGGCGTTAGGACGTGATCTCCCGCTGCCCAGCGTCGTTAAAACGATGCTGCACAGCGACAGATGCTGGAATGCGGTAGTCTCCTTCTGCGAGGAAGTCATCCTCCAGAGGGTGACAGCGGAGACGGCCCCGCATCATCAGATCGGCATCAGATGCAGCCGCCAGCCGACCCGTTGATGCGGTTCCGAATTGCGAGCGTCGTAGTAAACAACAAACAGAGAAGAGTAGCAAACTCAGCATCCAACGTGCTACTCCGGCAGCGTCACAAAAGCGGATTTCTGACGAAGAGAGTTTCATTAAAGTGGAAAGGAAGAAGAGGAAGCCCATTCGCCGCAATCTCTGTGGTGCCGCCCCGATCTGACCGAACCATCTGCTGCGTCCTGCAATACCGACGACGCCGCTGTACGTGTCCCGACTGCATCACTCTACGAAGGAAGAGGAGATCGTAGAGTACCTGCGGATTAAGACCAAATTCTCCCTCAGAGTCGCACGGTTGGAGTCCCGTCACAATGTGAATTTTAATTCCTTTGTGGTGCGGGTGCCAACCGAATATCTGGCGACGTTCATGAAAGAAGATTTTTGGCCGAAAGGTGTTGTGTTCCGGCGGTTCCGAGGCCGGCTACCTGACACCACTCCGTGCCACACGTCGCCGTCTATACGTGTTAATTAGGTTTCTACTAACGTAGTTATTATTATTTTTTAATTACTAACATTTAATGTATTACCTATATCTGTATTTATATTAGACTATAAGGTATTTATCTATGGGCCTACGTTGCCTGACTATAAACAAATAAATAAAATAAAATAATTAATAAACTGTACATGATGATTGAAGCTGTCACTCACCAGGAAATCATCCGGCTGTATTCCAAACAGGTCACGGAAATATCTGAACGCTATAGGCGCGTACGTTTTAAACTTGAACTCGGAGTAGTGATGCGCCGGTGTGTGATTCGATCCCTCGTGTGGGAAGTTGGTCGTTTCCACTGTCATGAAGTCTTGCATGAGGAGATCTCGTTCGGGCTTGGAGGCCAGACCTCCTATGGCGTGTTGGATGCCTGGTGACAAAGAAGATAATTATCTATACTAATATTATAAAGAGGAAAGGTTTGTATGTAAGTATGTTTGTAACGGAGCTCGATGGCGCAAGTGAAGCGATCGTTGAAGTTAAGCAACTTTCGCAGTGGTCGGTCATTGGATGGGTGACCAAACATTTACTATCTCGAGCCCCTCCGTGCTTCGGAAGGCACGTTCAGCCGTTGGTCCCGGCTGCATCTGCAGTCGTTAGCACCCACCAATCCGCACTGGGCCCGCGTGGTGGGTCATGGCCCAATCTCCCTATTCCATCCATAGGGAAGGCCTGTGCCTCAGCAGCCCCAGCATTAATAGGCTGATGATGATGTTTATAACGAATTGCCTCACAGAGTACTGGACCGATTTTAAAAATTCTTTTACCATTTGAATGCTACATTATCACTGATTAATATAGGCTATAGCGTATTTTCAAAAAAATTAGGTTTCCGTATGAAAACTTCGATAATGTAACCCAATGTGTGTAAAAAATACCAAAAAATAGCCTTATATCGCGTACGCTGCGGAAGTCATTGATAATAGAGCAAAGTCATGTTCTGAGTTTTATAGAGGATACCTATATATCTACAAAAAAGTCCGCGATACCATGTGTCTAACTATTACAGTTATGTATGTAATTTTATATTTTAATTTTTTTATATTTTCAATTATATTTTAAATATTTTAAATTATATGACTTTAAATGTAAAATATTAATTAATTACATAAATTCATTTTGTTTGACATTTGGTTTAGATTACTTTTTATATTATATATAATACAATTTCAGTATATAAAAAAAACACACACATCGATTGAATCCCAGAAATAATATATACTAACATAGCATTTAAGTTAAATAATGTTACTAACGATTTGATGGACCATTTTGTTGTCTGTAATAAACAATTTGAATATTGAAAAATATGTCACAACTAGAGGTCCTCTGCGGTTTCACCCGCGTTAATTTGAAGAAAAAGGTTTATGGTGAGTTAAACTTAATACCCGCTATACACACTACGAGAAATCGTTACGATCAGACTGTACAGTTCGAACGGTACAGTTTATACGATTTCGTTTAGTATAGGAAACTGTGCAGTTTTATAACATACACGCTACGATTTATCGGTACCGTTCGGATTGTACAGTCTAATCGTAACGATTTATCGTAGTGTGTATGGCGGGTATAAAATATAGAGACATAGGCTGTCGTGGGCTTTTCTACAGAACTTTCTAAGGGAAAGAATTCCGTCATACATGATTTTTGTATAATTTTCTCACAATGAATCTCACAAATGGAATATTTTTACCCGTTTTTGCAACATATTTCATCGTTATAGTAATGTAAGTTATTTACGGGATTGTTACCATGTACCTTGTTTTTAGCGAGATTCCGATATTTCGGCACTGTCACAAGCGCCATGATCACGGAGTAACTGAAGTAATTGCGGGTAGGCTGTTATTGGCAGACATATCGGTCTACCCTCCGACGAAAAAGAAAACAAGGTACATGGTAACAATCCCGTAAATAACTTATATTGCTATAATTTTAGTGACCATGAAAGTTTAAAACAATATATATTTCATCGTGCTCCGCTAGTTACACATAAAGTACGTAATGGTGCTTCTAAGCTAAGTTTGGTTTGGCTAGTTGGAAAGAGAATGGACGGTATGGCGGATGGGGCCTAACCTAGCGAGGCAGCAAGCTAAGCACCGCTTACGCCGCTACCGCTTGCGGTAGCGGCGTACTAAAAATTCATTCATAGACATGTAATTATCGCTGTCTTACTTTTTCTCATAGCGCTGTCGCGATCACGATGCGGATGACAAATTGCAACTAAAACAAATGCAATTCAATTCATTATTCAATCAATGGAATGCTCTCTGTCTTACTTGTTTTTTTTGTTGAAGTTCTCCTGTTTTAGGGAAGGCAAAGGGAACAATGCCCATACAGCCTAGTCTTTAATTAAATTAATCTTCTTTTTTTTTTACATTAGAATGTCGGTGTGACGCATTCTAATGTTTCTTGGAGTGTTTGGCACGAAATGTATCGAGTTGGCTTTTTCGATAAGCTTCTGTGAGGTAGTCAATACTACAATAAAATTCTCACGTCCACTTGACCGGAATAGCGTATATTTTAACGATTCCACTAATTCTTCAGTTACGCAGACGGTTGTTACACAAAACCACACCAATTTTATTTCACAATATCCACTATGAACGAATTTAAGAATAATTAAAATAAGACGCCAACCGCACTCGATGAAATCCCACCAAAAAACCCTCTCTGTCTTACTGTCTGTCTTACTTTTGTGCGGCGCGGCCCGGATTGGCGCGTCGGACGCGAAGGCGGGGCGTAGTTAAAACTACTGTAGAAAATCGTTCAAAGCATTTTGTTCGCCAAGTGACAGAGCGCAAAATTCCGCGATAGTACCAGTTAACAAGCAATTAACAAGCTACACTTTAGCTTCAATAATATTGGAAGCGGTACAATGCTCGGCTTATTGGCCATCAATTTCGCCGGCGACCTTAAAAGCTAACAATGAGCCACGTGGTGTGTTCATTTCCGGAATGTTACGGAAGGAAGCCGCATGCACGATACCGCACAAGGTCGGCAAAATGGCGACGACGAATATAAATAGATAAATGTTGAATATGTAAAACAGTAAGGAAACCAGTTGACGGTGCTCTGTCTGATAAAAATATATTAAAATAAAAAAAACGGATTTAAATATTTGTCCAAATCGTAAGTGGGGATCCGTGGCAAGACGGAATTTTTGACAAATGGCCTCCGTCACTAAAAGGCAAAAAATCACTGAGACAGACAAAAGAAAAATTTCCACCAAACTCAAAGGTGACTGACTGACTGACATAGTGAACTATCAACGCACAGCCCAAACCACTGGACGGATCGGGCTGAAATTTGGCATGCAGGTAGATGTTATGACGTAGGCATCCGCTAAGAAAGGATTTTGATCAATTCTACCTCCAAGGGGATAAAATAGGGAATGAAAGTTTGTATGAAACTTTGGCAAATTTAAACCGATCGGGCTGAGACGTTGCATGCAGGTATAAGAAGAATCATAGATGAATGTCATTGTGTATAATACAAGCCTGAGAACAAAAACTGTAGTCTACACTTCAGCTCTACACCGAAGCGAAGCGAAAGCGGGCCGCTAGTTTAATATACTTTCCCTCCGCGTGTCAAACCCGTGGGATGGTGGCACCTTAACATCAGACGGGCCATACGCTTGTTTGCAATTCTTTTAATAAAAAAAAATTATATGTATCAGCTCCGACGCACGACTGGAGTTTACTCCTTAAGTTCGATAGTCTAACCAGACGCAAAAAGTTTATTATAACTTAAAAAAGATTGATATTGTATGAAAGGGTATATTAACAAATTAATGAATATATATACATATATATATATATATTTATTCATTTCATATACATTTATTTTATTACTAATCGACGAAATATTTTACATTAAACTTTTTACATTAGTCAATTTCAGATGTGCATAAATATATCATTAGGAATGTTGATAAATTATGTAATTATTATTATCAGACTATTATCATTTTTTAAATATTAATTAAATCAACATTGTCTGCATTATTAATTACAGTGACAAGTGGTTTATGGTAACTAAAATAAGACACATGGACGTTCGTAGATACGTGGTTCACGAATCTTGAAAATACCGCATCAATGGTTGTACCATACCTCGTTGTCCCCATTGCTCTATCAGAAACAATATCTAAATTCAGTTCAGATTTTAAAAATTTTATTAAGTCAATCCGTCATCTTTATTTGTCAAACTTGCGCGACATAGGATGCGCACCAAAACCGTAACGAGGTCATTCATCGATAGATTTTACTCCTCAGATTTTTCTCATACCGGGCCCTTAGATTATAACAAAAAGGGTAGATACGGCACTAGCCTCACAAAAGTGATCCGCATGAATTGTGGTCCACGACCCTAATCGCTTTAGTCACAACTTGACATGCAAACGACGTACATGTGAACGCCAAAAAGAAATATTGCTTATATTTTGTGTTTATATGATAAAACAATGCCTAAGTGTGTTTTTAAAAAGTGCTCAAATTGCTCAAGAACTAAAAATAACACCCACAGCATGACGTTTCATTCGTAAGTACTATAAAATATATTTTTTCATAAAAATTGCTGTTTGTTTTGAATCTTATTCGGTAGTGACGTCGAGTACTGGTCGCGTGATTGGTCGGTAGTGCAGTGACGCGGATCTCGCCGTCTCGTTCGCGCTGCCGTGGGATCAGTTTTTGTTTGATGCAAGTATCAGCGTACCGTATCTACCCTTTTTGTTTTAATCTAAGACCGGGCCCCTTATATATGCAAATCGATTCTTAAGGAGTAAACTCAAAAGAAAATAGATAAGGCGGAAAAGTGTCTTATCTATCAATTACTAACAAAACACCCGAGTTATTGTGTTACATCGTGCCTCGCCGTGGTTCAAGGAGACTTAGTGGCAACTTAATTGTGTTTGTGAGCGAATTTTTTTAACCGTGTCGCGTTTTAGAAATCCGTTTTAATTAATTCATTCAACCTTCTATCTGCCGAGTGTTTATCATAATGATTAGGTTAAAATGGGATGATGGATAAATCTTTCGTAGTCCTTCCAAAGCGCATTTATAAGAAATTTTAATAATTAAATTAATATTTCCAACACTCACACCAATTAGCTTAGCCCCAAAGTAAGTACTATAAGGCTTGTGTTATGGGATACTAGGGTAACGGATAGAATACATATACAGTACATCTTTATATATATATTCTTCTGTGAGTGTGTATGTCACTGAACTTCTCTTAAACGACTGGACCGATTTTGATGAAATTTTTTGTGTGTGTTCAAGGGGATCTGAGAATGGTTTAGATTCACAAAGACGTGTAGACAGGACAACATCTGTCGGGTCCGCTAGTATTCATATATAAGTATATTAGCGG